TATCCTCACCATCTTTCTCAGAGTCTTCATGATCATCCAAGGAGTTTTCTGCTTCCTCTCCAATCTGAGGAGTTCTAGAGGTCCAGAGAACAGGCTTACTGACAACTTCTGAAGGAAGTTCAGCCTCAGCAATGATTTCTGCTTTCTCCTCACTGTCAGAAGTGCTAACAGGTGACTATTCCATTTTAAATGTTGTAAGCCTTAGGTTTGCTATAGATTCTGCAATGGCAAACTTTCTACCTTCTTTCCTCAATCTCTGGTCATTCTCCAGTGCTTCCTGTATAAGCTCTGCAATTTTCACTATTTTCATGCCAGCTATTTTGTTGCATCTCAAAACTAGAATTTTAGTAGCATTATTCCACCACTGGACTGGATGGTACAGATCTCTCTATGCTTGTTTATGGCAATCACCAACAAAACAACCATTACACATTCTTCTTGTTCTTTGGGATCTACCAATAAGCATGTTCCTTGGTGGCAGAGGTCAAAACTGACACAATTAGGCCTATGGTTGATGTTTGATTCTATAGGACTACACTCCTCAGGTAACTTATCCTTAGAAACATCAGGTCTTAGGAAGCTACAGAAGGCTGCAATTGCAGCAATGACGGCAACATAAGGAATATTCCCATCAAGATCTTGTAAGTCTAAGCCCATATGTATTTGCCAAACGTTTTCACCAGCAACAATGCAAACAGATTCCATGTGTATACATTTTGAATTTCTTAGACATTTTTCTAGGAGTTGATTCAGCATTACCAAGAGATCTCAGTGTCTGACAAGTTCAAAAGCTGGAACAGCCATCTGAGAGAATTCGAGGTTGAAGAAAAGATACCTTCTGCTGCGCTGTTCAGTTTTGGAGCTCTGAGTTCACAAGAAACCTGCCCAAGACCTCTTACTTTCCCAAGTTCCACAATACAGCACCCATGGTTGATGTTTGATGTCTCCACTAGACTGGAAGTTAAACAACAGTGAAAACTTCCTTATTCATATCTAAATCCTCTTCTCCAGTCTTAGTGTAATACTTGTCATCCAATAAATGTTTATAAATAATTATAAAACAATTATAAGATACAACATAATTATATGGCATTTCTTTCATGATGTCAGTTGTCCCTGGGTACAGAGTCTTTGGGCAAGGGGAACCTGACCCTTTTCATGTGTTCCCACCTTACTGGACATTGCAGGTGATTTTTCTGATGATCTTTTGCTGCCTTGACAAGTCAAGAATTTTCTGTTCTGGTGATTTCTAGGAGGATGTTTTTGTCTCTGTCTAAATGTGAGACCAGATTAAAAAACACTCATTGCATATGCCTACATACTCATTAGTACATCTTATTCATTTTAAGTCAGGATAGACAAAAATAATAAATCAAGAACATAGGCCTATGACTTTTACAGGACTAGAGAAAGAAAGCAAACCATTCTCTTTATTATAAGCTTCTGAGAATGAAGAAATGACTGTAAAAAGCAAGATATAATTATGTTGTATCTTATAATTGTTTTATAATTATTTATAAACATTTATTGGATGACAAGTATTACACTAAGACTGGAGAAGAGGATTTAGATATGAATAAGGAAGTTTTCACTGTTGTTTAACTTCCAGTCTAGTGGAGA